CCCAGGAGGCTCCGCTCTGCGTTCATCAGCGTTAATTAAAGGCGACCAATCACGAAGCGACGTCGATTACAATGCGGGGGTCACGTGACCGGGGGGGGGGGGGAGGGGCACATACAGCAACAGTGACATTGGGGGTTGGGGGGATATTATGGGGTACATGGGGGGGGGGGGAGGGGTATCCTGATGGGGTGGGAACAGATGTGATGGGACCCGAACATCCAGATGTGATGGGTACCAGTGTCCAGATGTGGTGGAGCCCAAGCATCCAGATGTGATGGAGCCCATAGATCCAGATGTGATGGAACCCAAGCATCCAGATGTGATGGATCCCATAGATCCAGATATGATGGCTCCCACAGATCCAGATGTGATGGAGCCCAAGCATCCAGATGTGATGGATCCCATAGGTCCAGATGTGATGGATCCCAAGCATCCAGATGTGATGTATCCCATAGGTCCAGATGTGATGGAGCCCAAGCATCCAGATGTGATGGATCCCATAGGTCCAGATGTGATGGATCCCAAGCATCCAGATGTGATGTATCCCATAGATCCAGATGTGATGGAACCCAAGCATCCAGATGTGATGGATCCCATAGATCCAGATGTGATAGAACCCAAGCATCCAGATGTGATGGAACCCAAGCATCCAGATGTGATGGAGCCCAAGCATCCAGATGTGATGGGTCCCATAGGTCCAGATGTGATAGAACCCAATGTGCAGATGTGATGGGCCCAGATGTGATGGAACCCCGTGTGAAGATGTGATAGCACCGCAATGTCCAGGTGTGATGGGCCCTGATGTGATGGCGCCCAATGTCCAGATGTGATGGATCCTATAGGTCCAGATGTGATGGAACCCAAGCATCCGGATGTGATGGACCCCATTGATCCAGATGGGATGGAACCCGATGTAATTGGTCCCATAGGTCCAGATGTGACGGCCCCCACACATCCAGATGTGATGGCCCCCATTGGCCCAGATGTGATGGAACCTGATGCAATGGGTCCCCTATGTCCAGATGTGATGGAACCTGATGCAATGGGTCCCCTATGTCCAGATGTGATGGAACCTATGCAATGGGTCCCCTATGTCCAGATGTGATGGAACCTGATGCAATGGGTCCCCTAGGTCCAGATGTGATGGAACCTGATGCAATGGGTCCCCTATGTCCAGATGTGATGGAACCTGATGCAATGGGTCCCCTAGGTCCAGATGTGATGAAACCTATGCAATGGGTCCCCATGTCCAGATGTGATGGAGCCTGATGCAATGGGTCCCCTAGGTCCAGATGTGATGGAGCCTGATGCAATGGGTCCCATAGGTCCAGATGTGATGGAACCTGATGCAATGGGTCCCCTATGTCCAGATGTGATGGAACCTATGTAACGGGTCCCATAGGTCCAGATGTGATGAAACCTGATGCAATGGGTCCCCTATGTCCAGATGTGATGGAACCTATGCAATGGGTCCCATAGGTCCGGATGTGATGGAACCTGATGCAATGGGTCCCCTAGGTCCAGATGTGATGGAACCTGATGCAATGGGTCCCCTAGGTCCAGATGTGATGGAACCTGATGCAATGGGTCCCCATTGGCCCAGATGTGATGGAACCTGATGCAATGGGTCCCCTATGTCCAGATGTGATGGAACCTGATGCAATGGGTCCCATAGATCCAGATGTGATGGAACCTATGCAATGGGTCCCCTAGGTCGAGATGTGATCGAACCTATGCAATGGGTCCCATAGGTCCAGATGTGATGGAACCTGATGCAATGGGTCCCATAGGTCCAGATGTGATGGAACCTGATGCAATGGCTCCCCTAGGTCCAGATGTGATGGAACCTGATGCAATGGGTCCCATAGGTCCAGATGTGATGCAATGGGTCCCCTATGTCCAGATGTGATGGAACCTGATGCAATGGGTCCCATAGGTCCAGATGTGATGGAACCTATGCAATGGGTCCCCTAGGTCCAGATGTGACGCCCCCCCCCACATCCAGATGTGATGTCTCCCACCGGTCCACACGTGACGGGCCCTTCCCTCATGCAACCCAACCGCCCCTCCGCGCCGGACCCCCAACCACCCCCTCCCCCCCCTGTCTTTCACCCTTCTCCCCACCCCCCTTCCCCTTTCCCCCCCCCCCCCCCCCCCCCCCCCACCCCCACCCCCACCCCCCCCCCCCCCCCCCCCCCCCCGTCCTTGCCGGCGCTCGCAGTGGCCGCGGTGCCGCACGAAGCTGTCGCGCCACATGAAGCGCTTGGCGCACACGTGGCACTGGTAGGGCTTGAGGCCCGTGTGGGTCTTCATGTGCTCGGTGAGGTGGTGCTTCATCTTGAAGCGCTTGGCGCACACCGGGCAGGCGAAGGGCCGCAGGTTGAGGTGCATGTTCACGTGCCGGTCCCGCATGCTGCGGTGCGAGAAGGCCTTGCCGCAGTGGCACAAGAAGATCTTGTTGCCGTCGCCGGCGACGGAGGCGGTCTGGACGGCGCCGTGTTCCGCGCTCGACGGGGCTGGGAAGAGCAAGAGGGGGTTGCCTTGCATGTCCATAGGGAGCAAGGAACGCGACGGGAGGAAGGAGGAGGAGGAGGAGGAGGAGTCCTCCAGGGCATCGTAGGCGTGCGGGAAGTCGGCGGAGGACTCGCACAGGTGGACTTGGTCCTCCAAGTGTGGGGCGGCCCCGTCGGCGTCCGGGGAGCGCAGTTGGGTGCTGAGGCCTTCGGTACCGTGGAGAGCGCTTGGGGACCTCAGTTGGGTGCTGAGGCCTTCGGCACCGTGGAGAGCATTGGGGGACCTCAGTTGGGTGCCGGCCCCGTGAGCCTCAGGGGACCTCAGTTGGGTGCTGAGCCCATCAGCACCCTGGACAGCACTCGGGGACCTCAGTTGGGTGCTGAGCCCATCAGCACCGTGGAGAGCACTCGGGGACCTCAGTTGGGTGCTGAGCCCATCAGCACCATGGACAGCACTGGGGGACCTCAGTTGGGTGCTGAGCCCATCAGCACCATGGACAGCATCGCGGCTCCTGGGTTGGGTGCCGATGGCTTCAGCACCGTGGACAGCGCCGGGGGACCTCAGTTGGGTGCTGAGCCCTTCAGCACCGTGGCCAGCATCGGGGGCCTTCACCTTGGGCCCCCCAGCCCTGCTTTCAGCCCCACTGGGGGACCTCAGTTGGGTGCCGACCCCTTCAGCCCCATGGCCAGCACTCGGGGGTCTCAGCTGGGGGCCGCCCCCTTCAGCGCCGTGGCCAGCATCGGGCCCTTCGACGGGGTCTTCGTCCTCTTCGCACGTCAACACCAGGTCCTCCTGCAGCCACTCCTGCTTGACGTAGACCCACTGCTTGTGGGGCACGATGCTGGGCTGGGCGTAAAGGGGTCGGGGGTGGCTTCCGTCGCCCGCCCCATCGCCACCCCCTTGGCTGGAAGAGGGGCACTTGTGGGGCTCAGCCCCATGGTGGGGGCTGAAGTAGTTGGTGCTGCTCGGCGACTGCGCGGCGCTGGAGTGGGCGCGGGACGAGGACGCCGAGGATGAGGATGAGGAGGAGGAGGACGAAGGAGGAGGAGGCCCGGGGACCGCTCGCCCTTCCTTGAGCAGCTCCGTGCACTTGTCCACGATGTGCCACATCTGGAGCACGCTGCCCACCGTCAGGAAGTTGACGACGGCGTCGGGGGCCATGGAGAGGCGCCCGGTGTAGGCCGACCCCAAGACGGTCTCGAAGGCGCCGGGGTCCATGACGGGGGGCAGCACCACGGAGCTGACGTTCTTGAGCAGGACCTGGTCGTGGAAGTAGGGCGACGAAGCGGCCAGGACGGCGCGGTGGGCGCGGAAGACGCGGCCCCGCACGTGGATGGAGAGGTCGCAGAGCTGCCCCGCCAGGCGTTGTTGGTTCAGCTTGGCCAACAGCGCGCCCGGCAGCTCCGGGAAGTCCACGTGGAGCAGAGGAGATGGGTCCATGGTTGGGGGGGGGGGGGGGCCAGAGGAGAGGCCCTGGGGGGGAGGGGGGGGGTTGGAAGGAAAAGCGTTGAGTTGGAAAACAATAGCCCTTGAGTTGGAAACCAAAAGCCATTGATTTGCACCCAAACCCCGTTGATTATGACCCGAAATACATGGGGGTTGGACAGAAACACATCGATTTTGACCCCATCTCCACGGATTCTGACTCTAAACCCATCGATTTTGACCCAAAACCCAACGATTTTGACCTGAAACCCATCAATCTTGACCCGAAACGCATCGATTTTGACCCGAAACCCATCGATTTTGTCTCTAAACACATCGATTGTGACCACAACTCCACAGATTTTGACTCTAAACCCATCGATTTTGACTCAAAACCCATGGATTTTGACCCAAAACCCAACGATTTTGACCTGAAACCCATCGATTTTGACCCGAAACCCATCGATTTTGACCCCAACTCCATGGATTTTGACGTTAAACTTACCGATTTTGACTCAAAACCCATGGACTTTGACCCGAAACCCAAAGATTTTGACCCGAAACCCAACGATTTTGACCCGAAACCCATCGATTTTGACTCTAAACCCATCGATTTTGACCCCAACTCCATGGATTTTGACTCTAAACCCATCGATCTTGACTCAAACCTAATGGATTTTGACCCAAACCCCATCGCTTTTGACTCAAAACCCATCGATCTTGACCCAACCCCCATCGATTTTTACTCTAAACCCATCGATTTTGACCCAAACCCATCAATTTTGACCCAAAACACATTCATTTTGACCCAAAATCCATTGCTTTTGACCCAAACCCCGTTGAGTTGGACACAAACCCCATCGATTTTGACCCAAAATCCATGGATTTTGACTCTAAACCCATTGATTTTTTCTCAAAATCCATTGATTTCGACCCAAACCCCATGGATTTTAGATCCAAACCCAACGATTTTGACCCAAACCCCAGCAATTGTGACCCAAAACTCATTGTTTTTGACCCCAAACCCCATCGATCTTGGCTCAAAACCTATTGAATTGGACCCAAACCCCATTGATTTTGACCCAAACCCCATCAATTGTGACCCCAAATCCACTGATTTTGACCCAAATCACTTGATTCTGACCCAAACCCATCGATTTTCACCCTAAGCCCCACTGATGTTGATCCAAATCCCCTTGATTTTGCCCCAAATCCCCTCCAGCCACCGTAACCCCCCCAATGACACCCCCTATAGACCCCCCAGCCCCTATAGCCCCCATAACACCCCTATAGCACCCCCATAGCACCCCCCAGCCCCTATAGCCCCCGATAACATGCCTATAGCGCCCCCTCACCCCCTTAGAGCCCATAGCCCCCTGTAAGACCCCCCAACCCCTATAGCCCCCGTAACAACCCCATATTTCCCCCATACACGGAGCCCCTATAGCCCCCATAGCACCCCCCAAACCCTATAGCCCCCCATAACACCCCCATAGCCCTATAGACCCCATACAGAGCTCCAGCCCCGATAACCCCCATAACACCCCCATAGCCCCCCCATACACGGAACCCCTATAGACTGCATAGTACCCCCCATGCCCTATAGACCCCATAACATCCCTATAGCCCCCATAGCCCCTACAGTCCCCATTCCACCCCTATAGCCCCTCCATCCCCTATAGCCCCCCTACATACCCACTATACCCCCCATCCCCTATAGCCCCCATAACACCCCTATAGCCCCCCCAGCCCCTATGGTCCCCATACACCCCCATCCCCTATTGCCCCTAAAACACCCCTATAGCCCCTCCATGCCCTATAGCCCCCCTAAATACCCACTATATCCCCCAACCCCTATAGCCCCCAACCCTATAGGCCCCATAACAACCCTATAGCCCCTCTATCCACTATAGTCCCTCCTACATACCCCCTATACCCCCAACCCCTATAGCCACCATAACAACCCTATAGCCCCCATAGGACTCCAGCCCTTATGGTCCCCGTAACACCCCTATACCCCCCCATCCCCTATAGCCCCCATAGCCCATATAGCCCCC